CTTAAGGATTGGAAGATATGTGTCAGGTAATAATTTCGTGTCCTCCTGTTTATTCAGTCTTGTACTCTGTCTTTTTTATTATGAAGCATTTCGGAAGTTAATCTTTTGCTATAACATGGTTCTCTGTCTAGTATGTCAACTTTGTCCCATTTGAAGTCATGATTGAAATCCTTTCTGTAGCAAGAAATTACTGAGGGGGAATCTGATTTTTTATTGATATCCGTTCTGTGTTCTTTTATTCTAGTCCGTAATTGTCTTTTTGTCTGTCCTACGTACGTGGCGTCACAGTCTTGACAAGAAATCTTATAAACAATATCACACTGGTTCATCCTGTCTAAAGGGTCCTTTCCAGTTTTTATGATTTTGTTTAATTTGTTGTTGCATGAAAAGACCAACATACATTCATTTATTTTTGAAAACTGAAAAAATTGTTTAGATACATTTTTTACATACGGGATCGTAAAAATTTTCCTTTTTTTATTATTATCGTTGTTCTTATCGTCATTTTTGTTAAAATTTTTGTGTATGTGAAAATTAATTCTGTTTTTAATATTTGAAAAAATAAAATCTAGTGGATAACTATTGTTTAACAGAATTGTTATTATGTTTTCAAGATTTTTTTGTTGAAAACGTGGATGTGAGAGCCATAGGACCCTATCGACCATGCCAAAAATGACACCTTTTTTATGAGATAAAGGGTGGTGTGAGTGGAAATTTAAATATTTTCCCGAGTATGTCTGTTTGTGTGAAAAATGTCAAATATAATCTTCGAGTTGTCATTTATAATTAACACATTGAGAAAATTTATCCGATTATTATTGCTAACCTCCAGTGTGAATTGCAACCTAGGATGTATAGAATTGAAGATCGTAGTGGTTTCATTTAATAAATTATATGGGACTGCAATCAGGATGTCGTCAACATATCTATAATAAAACGAAGGTGTGCATGGTAAACGTTCCATGGCTAAACATTCCAGGTCTTGTAAAATAATGTCCGCTATGATGGGGGATAAGGGAGAGCCCATTGGTGTACCAAAGATCTGTTTGTAAATTTTATTGTTAAAAATAAAGAACGTAGAATTTAAGACTAGAGTGACACCCATAACCAATTCATTAAGTGGTATGGAAGTATGACCCCTTATCTGACCCCTTCAGTTTGGTTAAAAAATTAAACGGAAAACTTATTAATCCAGATATTTGCATCGCCTCTTTAGATGTGGTTTTGTTATTTACTAACGTACCTATTGAAAATACAGGTAA